GTCAATTCAAAAACTGCCATAAACAAAGAAGGAAAAAAAAACTGTCTGTTTTCATTCAGTGACATGATTAGCACACTCAATGCTGTGGAACTGTCTCTATCTGCCAGGGAGTAGATGATTTATCTCTATAGCAACACACCTCTCCACCAATGGTGCAAAAAGCGCAGCAGCAAAGCAGAATCGCTATATGGGGGGGAGGGGGGAGAGGAGGAGAAGAATTGCACTGAGGCTTTTTATCTTACATGTGACAAGATCACAAGCCAGGCAGGTTTGGGAGGGATGTTACGTATTCCACTTCTAACAAGTCTGCCTCATACTACAAGATAGTTCATGGAAAAATTTAAAAAACAGGCGGCTATATGCTGCTGTTAGAGGGGCATTAGAAATCATTAGATATAAAAACAAACCTCTTATGCAACTTTCAGAATCTGACTTCAAATTAACTGTAAGAAAATGTGTTTACTATCCTCTAACTATCATTGCATCCAAGAGAGGACAGAAGGAAATACCCCATTTCCCCCCTGATGTAAAAATTAAGGTGGCATAAGAAGCTTCTGTGTTTCAGAGGGCTTCCCCCCCCACCCCTGCACACCACTGAAGTAAACAGCATTCAAGTTAAACCAAAGCAAAAAGGCTCTTAAAAATGTTGCCTTTCCCGGTTATGTTTATGGAAGCAAGATGATATGAATGTGGAAAGAACTGCATACAGAAGCCAACCATTTTGCACCAATGAAGACTGGCAGCATGAAAAAGAGAACAGTGGGATGGACGCTGACCTGCCAGAGAGCTAGAAACAGCTATGGTGTGTGTAAGTAAGTCATTTTATATTGTTCAAAATCCACATCTTGAGGTGCTTAAAATAATACAGTCAGTCACACCTTCAACATACCGGTGGCTTTATGCATTTTGGCCTACAGTCAGAAACCAACTAATTTTTTTTAAAGATACGGTTTATACGTAACCCACCCTTTAAAGTTACCCTGTAATTGTTTAACTTTGATATTTTCACATTTTATTTCTTTGGCAAAATGGGAGTACTTCTTTTACATCATAAATGGTATTTGTAATATCTAGTTTGTTGCATAAACAGCACAGAGATATATATTTTAAGTAATGAAGAAATACAATCAACAATTTGCCCAGCTCCCTTTACTCGCAAAGGGAAATACTAAAAGCCAAAAACTGTTCATAATCATGTAACTAATGTTAAGTGTCTAGTTACTTCACTGACTTTTCAGATTTTTCATTCTCCTTTCCCTGCTTATAGTACAGTGCTATTTCTTTCCATTTAGACAGATTTGTTTAAGAAAGGAATATTTGTTTATTCTTGTCCTTATTTATTTGCAACAAACTCATTTTTTAAAATCTCCTTTTAAAGAAAAATGCCTCATATAGCTAAAGTTCTTCATTCTCCTTAGTTGTTAGCATATTCTACCAAATAACATTACTTACATAGTACCGAGTAGGATTTTTTAAATAATTTTTATTAAAATTGCAGTTGCGTATGACCCATTTGCTATATTCTCTCAATTAAAACAGCCCTACAATTATTTTTATGTGAACTACAAATATTGTAAATGTATGGCAACTCAGGTTTATTGTTTATTTATTTATTTATTTATTTTTAAGGATGATTATTTTGCAGTGCTATTGAACAAGTGTAATTTTTATATTACAGAACAGCAAGTTCTGTTCTTACCCCATACAATGCAGCAACAACATTGGTTTCAACTACATTTTGTGGTGCGTTTAGAGCCCTGGAAACCTCTCATGTATCTACTGAGCAGGTTCAGCACAGTTTGCTGTAACACAAGTCTCCCTGTCAGTATGCCTCACCCTGAAGCAGAGGAACCCCCAAGACAAAGTAAGAGGGGGAATTCAGTCTCCATGGCTCACTCAGATTTTGGTGTGTCTGCTGAGACTGATTACATGCCATCTGTGAACTGGAGAGTGACCTCATTTCAGATAGGTCATTTAGACTTTTTGTCACCACCAGCTGGGCTACCAGCTTTGTGCATCACTGTATGCAGGATGACTGACAGAGGAAAGACATTGTATCTCATTCCTGATCCCGGCTTACATCTAATTAGAGGGGTATTCATATGGCATCATGGAAATGTCCATTGTAGGTCTCAAAACCATTAAATTGCTACCAAAATTCCTTGAAAAATCAACATACCAAGGAATACAGAAGTGGTTATATGGAACAGACTCTATCCCAGTATCTCACTCTCTTCATGCAGAAGACAACTGGAGGATCCACTAGCAACTGATTTTCCCTTGTTCTTCCCCCACATCTCCAGCCTCTTTCTGCCCCCACCCCCAACACTCTGCCACCTATCAGTGGGCCTCCTTACATCATCATTGCTCAAGAAAACCACACCAGTTCTGCTAAGAGCAGACCCACAACCAATAGAGGATAGGCCAGGATTGCCCCCCAAACAAATAAGGAGCAGGCTCTTCTCTGATTTCAGAGCATTATGTGATATACATAAGTGTAAGAAACACGCTTAAATCCATACAAATTATGACCCTTTTCAGAAATTTAAGTGTGGTGCATAACACAGCCAGCCAGTCACAGAGAGACAAAGCTGAAAACCGAAGGGTCAGTTTGTGCTGGCTGCACTCATACTCAAAACTGGGGAGACATGACCACAACATGACATGAATATGACCAATGTTAGACTCCTTACCTGAGTTATACAACTGAGGCCTCTGGCAGGAAAACTCTGTTTCCTTCCTGAATAGATGCAGACTAGAACAACACTAGCCAGAACTAATAGCAGATAAATTATGAAGAGAGCCAAAAAGTCCATTCTGCGTCCTGCAACAAAAAAAGGAGCTTATTGGTGCTGCCTGCTGCTGCTGTGTGTTCCTAGCCTCTATGCGCTGGTATCTAGGATTAGAAATGCTGCACATTATTTATCAAAACATTTCTAAACAGTACCCAATTCTGATGGAAACCAGTCCTGGAAATCTCCACAAAAACTCTGGCCTGGCTCAGAGCGAGGCAAAGAATCTAGTTCAAAACATTATTTGTTTTCTATAGAGCTCTAACGGTGTGCATGAAGCATTTTAGAAGCATCTACAGCCAAAACAAGGAGCCACCTCTCATTCCATAACTGGCTTCGACCCCTTTAGGGCAGTAATAATCCATTTGTATTTACACACAGCCCAACATAAGAGGGCTCAACGTGGACTGGGACCAATGGATGCTACAGTAATAAATAGCAGCAGCAGGCGAAACTCAGAACCCTGAAGTCTAGACAAATGCATTGATTTTCATCTTTGTTTTAAAATGTACTCCTCTGCATTTATCACTCTTACCTTGTGTTCTGTTTATTTATTGTATCCACCTGTTGTTGCTTGTCTTTTACTTGGACTGTAAGTTATTGGGGGCTGGAACATCTTTTTGTTATATGTTTATATAATGCCTGGCACAATGGAGCCCCGCTTGGGATCTATGGGTGATATCACCATGTAAATAATAGTAATACTCTGTCATTTGAAAAATCTACAGATATTCTAGATTTAAAAAAGCCAACATTTCAGTTCCCTTTTAATACTAGGAAGCAAAAGGAAAGCCTAATGACACCTGCAGTCTCGTACCGCACTGACAAGCCATCATTTCTATACTTTTAAGTCTCACAGATGTTTCTACACGGAGGTTTGTTGGACTTGCAACGAATAGGTGCACTCGGGTCCCTACCATGCTAGACCCGTTTACTGCTCCTCAAACGGCAGCTTTAGGGATAGGGTCACCAGACAGCAAGTGTGACAAATCAGGACGGGAGTGTGTGTGGTGGGGGGGGGCGGGAAATAGGCGCCTATAAGACAAAGCCCCAAATATCGGGACTGTCCCTATAAAATCAGGACATCTGGTCACCCTCAGGGACCTCGCTCCCGACCCCAGCCACTGTAACGCTCGAAAGGCTTTTCTGCCCCAGGGCCCGAGCCTGCAAACAGCCACACGCCGGAGCAGCTGGTCGGGCCATTGGGATCCATGGGGCAGCCCCGGGCCGGGCCGGGCCGGTCGCCCCCACTCGTGTGAGCGAGGGGGCAACTCTCCCGCGGCAAGCACCGGCGCGCCCCCCTTGTCCTGCTGCGAACCCCCACCCCGGGCACCCCCTTGCCGCAGCCCGGAAGCGGCCCTGCGGGGCTCAGCTTCAACCCCTTCCCCGGCGAGATCAGCCCCCGCCCCGGGCTCGGAGCCTGGCGGACAGGCGCTGAAC